CCGTAATGCGTCTTCTGCCTGGGTTACGTTGAAATGATAGCAAACAGGTATAAAGAGGTCAGGTAAGTCTCGAATTAGCACGGAGGAAAGTGGAGTGCATTGTCACCGTCGCTGTCTTGGCCTAATTCAGGCTATCCTGTGCACAGATCTCCCTTTCAGTGTCCAGCAGGTCGTGTTCCCGAACGCTACTCTTACAGCACACCTTTATTAAGACGGGCACGCCCCAAATCTGAAAACAATACGTGTTGCTGGACTCAGCCCTTTGGCTCCGGGGGAAGTCAGGGCACGAACATGCCCGTTAAATCCACTTAATTCCTCCGAATGACTGCGTTTCATCAAACCCGCCACATGTACCCCTCAGAGCACTAATAGCGTTCGTATGTCACATTTAATTTCCTTAACAACTATTGGGTGTTGGGTCCACCTTTATGGTGGCTTGCTTTACAGGGTGATATATTATCTGGTGTGAACCAGGTCAGTCTGTATAATGGCTGAGCAACGTTCAGCCAGCAGAGGAGGAAATGACTAAGAAAATGTATGAAACAGATGACCTTTCAATTAGCACAGAGATGTACACTGTTATTATATGTGTGTGTGTGCTTTTTGTGTTGTACGTATATCCGATTGGTATTATACCCTTAAACGAGCAGTCTTATCTCACATCAGTGCATCTGTTTTCCTTAAAAAGCTGCTCAAAAGCAAGTAAATGTAACCGAGAAACAACCCATTAAGCAACAAATCTTTCAACTCTATACGACATCTCTGCCTTTTTATACTTATAATGGCATCCTGTGGAGTAAATCCCCTACAAGCAGCAGATTGGAGAAAAAAAAACAACTCACGTAACCATTTCCACATGACACCAAATGTCACTCTCAATTCTGACATTTAACAAGCCACCGAGTCCTCATTAGGAGGAAGGAGTGCTGGTTGCATGGGGCTGTATGATGTGTTCACAGCCCAAGGCAGCCCCTTTGTGTAACGTTAGTTCAAACCAACACAAACAGCAATAACCAACACTATTTTACCAAAACACTCTTCGCTTTCTGCTTAATTTTACATGCTATTAACCTGTTTATAGACATGTTTCATTATCTGGATGCATGCACTGCATGCACAGGCACATTTAACCCTTTCAAGCCTGATCCAAGAATAAAACAAAACAGAAAATTACTTTTTTGGGGGTTTAATTCCTTATTTGGTCTTTTTACAATATATGTAAAAAGAAAAAAGAAAAAATATTTTTTTATGTTAATAATTTATTACTATGCGATAAGTCAAGATTATTTTTTGTGTAGTCTTCTGCCCCCTGTTATCAGGTATATCTGATTGTGTACAATAGGATTTTGAGCAAAGGTTTTACCATTAAATTATGCAAAAGGTGTCAGAAACCTTATGTATCAAATATAATACGTTTGGCATTACAGGGTTAACATCACCCCACAAAATAACCCCATAAATGTCTTTGACAAGGCACCTGTGAAATCATTTCGCAATATCCATTCACGTGATGATTGTTAAAAACAATAGATAGATTTAAATTATGTACAAAACACACTTGATGTAAAGCTGCTGCCTTTGGACCAGCGGATATCAGGCAGTGAGATGCTTTAACATCAGGGTTTTTTGCAAGGGTCTGAACATATTTCTGCATGTTTTATGCATTGAAGCCTCTAATAATGTGCAGTTTTGCTTGTAGTGCAAATGTGCAGAAACTATTGACTGAATTTACTTTTAACAGACAAATAAATAAATAAAAATTTGTATTTTTTATCCAGGTTTTTCCCGGGTCAGGCTTTTTAGGGTTAATGAGAGCACTTCACTCTATTTGTTGTTAAATTTACCGTGTTGGATCAATGAACAGCTCCCCCTTTTGCTGTGGACTACTGTTTTTTTGTCTCCACTAAACATAATAAGCAGTTAAATAAGGTGAGAAAATTGTTTCCATGTCTTCTTTTATATTCATTTTTAGTTTTACTGGTGCAGTTAAAAGCGAGTGTTTGGTACTTGTGAGTTTTTGCTATGAATCATGAAATCTATTAGCGAAAGTATACATTTTTTAGGGCTGTTTCTATTAATAACTGTGTATCATCCACTATATAGCATTTAGACACACCAGCTGTGGTGCACAGAAGCCTTTTTGATGAAGTTATGAGTCTAAAATGCTGTCGTGTCAGCAGCTAAACTGTTGAATTGGTGGTTAAAGAAAAGGGCACATTTACTTAACGGGTATCGGGAGTCCATTCCTGGCTACGATAACATATTAAAGATGTTACAAATTCTATATTGCAACAGTACGGAGTTTGTGGTCGGAGCAGCAAATTGGCCTTGGGTTTGTGTTTTCTGTGCAGTCCCGATGATAGAATGCCACATCACTTAACTTCCTCTGCCCCGAAAGGGCTCTCATCACCTAGCCTCAGCGAGCTGCTAGACAAAACAACCCGTAAGGCCCAATCATAACACCGGGTCGTTCGGTCACGACCTACACGGTAAAAGAATGACACGGGGTAGTATTTTTCCCCCCGACCAGAATTCCCACGTCGTTTTTTCTCTGGTTTTCCGCACGTTTCCGCCTCTGCGACTCCTCAACGCCGCGGACCCTCTGGTGCACCCGGGGGCTCGGGCCATCAATCACAGGCCTTTAACTGCACAGTGAGAGCAGGTGACCCCTCCCCCAGCCACGCTTGTGACCCCGTCATCCACCCAAACGCCATCTCCACACCCCAATAAATTCACAGCAGGACCTTCTCAGAGTCTGGTTTTCATCCTGCCTCTCGCTTCCTGCCCGATATCAACATCACAAATAAAGTATTTTATCAATTACGACAACAGGTATATATAAAGGGGCTGACAGGGATTTTTTTTCTACATGTGGGTATATGTTCTCCTTTATCATGTTCGAGGAAATGAATACAGGCATAGTTATAAATCGGTCAGTGTTTCTCTCTTATGGAACATCTGTTCTTAAAAAGCAGGCTTGTTACGTTCTGTCTCGGACCTATGGTGCTCATAGACAAAGGTAAAGGGGATCCAGTTATAGAAGGGCCATCCCAAACTAGGTCATTAGAGGAATTTGCTCACGGCCAACTGTAACAAATGGTGAGCTACTTGTTGGGTGCTTTTTTGGGTGTTACCTCTTTATCCATAGAGTTTTTTTTTTTCCACAGCATCTATGTCAAACTGTCTGTTCACCTTGACAACATAACACTTTCTAAACACTTTTTTTGTAGGCAGCTCTTTGGTTTCCATTTCAAGGTTTTTTATTACATCTACATCCGTTACTGTGACAGCTAAGAGGTCAAAACACAGAGACAGCTAACCACCAGTCTCCTCTCAATGTGATCCAATGCGATCTGTTGGCTTCTCTGGCTAAATTGAAATGATGGTAATTGGACTAATAGACTCGAGTTAATAGAGTTTATTGAACTGATGTCTTGATACAAGGTAGAGCACCTAAAAATATTAACAATAAATGGTCCGTTTTCATCTCATTTAACTCCTCACAGGAGAAGATATTCAAGCTGCCAAACTTTTGCTTGTCTTTGTGTGTCTATGATCCTGTGAATTTATTTCTATGACTCATCTTGCATATTAGGGCTCATTTGAGTGAAAATGATGAAAATCTTTTAAAATCGAAACAAGCCCGAGTCTCACTTTCCAAAGAAAAATTCTGATAAACTTTTTAACGCTAAATCTTTGAATGAATCATGGAAAAAAAATGTGAAAAAACAAAATGTTCACTGAAGATCTGCTCAGGTTCATAATGTGACCGTGGAGGCCATTTAATTCTTCGTTGTCTTTCTGGTGTTTGCTGGTAATTTATTGTCTTTGGTTCTGGTTGTCTCAAGTGTGCTTTGGCCCCACTTGTTTATATAAGTTTTTATGAGTTTGGTTGTCATGGATTTCTTTGTAGTTTGCTTATGTGCTATAGAACCAATGGATGGTCCCTGTCAGAAGTATTATCTTTGTCACGAACGAAGCTGCATAGATACGGTTACCTTTTATAAGCAGGATCAGCTTGTTCTTTCATCATTAACCTCTGAAAATATGCCGGCAACAGGAGATGACCATAAGTATCTTATACCAAAACATAATAGGTTGGTGCGCCTCCCATATGTTACATTAGCCCATTTCCTCTCTAAAATGTAGGTTTTTCCTAATTCTGGTATTTTGATGCCACAATTTTGGCATTTTAGGCCAACAAAAATCTAAATCTATGGTTTGTAAGCCTTGTAAGCCATTCCTTTTTTTTTTTTTTTTTATAATCCATTACAGCTATTGGATTAAATACAACTATATTTCAATCTGATATAACTGACATTGAGAGTTTATGTGACAAAGGAAGCCACTCTGAAAAAAAACAATGGTAGAAAGGATAATCATCTTTGGATGGTTTCTTTTTTTCTCATCAGGATGTCTGTGGGCCTGAGCTTCCAATAGCTATGTTAATATAGAGTTCATTTTTTATTTAGCCCTCAGGTTGATCACAATTCTTCTACTATTAATACTAGCTGGATCGAGGGTGTCATGTATTGCTTGCAAGGATCATATTGGGTCATTACTGAAGTTGGCGTGGCTCAAACCGGATGAAAGGACCTTAATAGCATTGTATGTATTATTCGGTATTTCACCACATAAAGTGTTATGTTCCATTAATACGTGACGGCTCTGTACTGGGGACATGGTAATCTATATTTTGAGGCATAGTCAACAAAGGAACAATCCCATTCTTTCTGTGTTCAAGGTAGCGAGATGCTTCAGATTTCATTAGCTGCCCTTAGGCCATGGTCCAGACAAGAGTTCTCCTTCCTCAAACAATGCAATTGTTAAGAAAAAAAAAGTCAGTTGCTTGACCTTGTTTTGGACCAATCCCAGTAGACAAGGTTACCTATAAAGACCTGTGAGTCTAACCCAAAGACTCCAAACATACTCAGAAGACCTGCCAGCCTTCAATCAAGAGACACTTTTTGAATGAGGAGCGCTGAAGCCGAAGAACAACCATGAAGACTCTTTTACTTTTACTCTCCTTGATAGGCAGAAGTAGTCAGCTTACGATAGGTGACTGTGGGGCGGAGGCGAGGCGACCAGATATAGATGATATATCAGTGGAGTGTGGCACTTCGTCCATTTCTCTGGCCATTCAGATCTGCCCGGTCATCTACACCGGCTACAACGAGACTCTCCTGATCCTGAACCACATGCTGGACCCCATGTGCAAAGCGACCCTCGATGAGTCGGTGACTCCACCCGTCGCGCGCTTCAGCTTCCCACTGAACATGACCAATGCCTGTGGAAGCACGTTCAGGACCACCAGTACGGCCGGTACCGGCCCGTTTGCCGACTTCTCCAACATTCAGACCGTCAACATCAGCGGCGTCGTTCGGTCCATCGACCCGACCACGGGCACCATCACCTACAACGCCGAGCTGAAGTACCTCTACTCCTGCGCCTACCCCCTAGAGTATCTGATCAACAACACCCAGATCGATGTGTCCGCCTCCTCCATAGCGGTCAAGGACAACAACGGGAGTTTCATCAGCACCTTGAGCATGGAGCTCTTCAGCGACGCCAACTACACCCAGCCCATGGTCATCCCCCCATTGGGGATTGAACTGAGGACCGACATGTACGTGGAGGTCAAGGCCACCAACTTGACGGGCCAGTACCACGTGCTGCTGGACCGCTGCTACGCCTCCATCTCCGCCCTGCCCTCCAACTCCAGCTTCTTCAACCTGTTCGTGCCCTGCTCCAAGGACCGCTTCACCACCATGATCGAGAACGGGGACAGCCAGTCGGCCCGCTTCAAGTTCCCGGCGTTCCGCTTCATAGAGCAGCAGAACGAGACCGTGTCCACCTACTTCCTCCACTGCATCACCCGCCTGTGCGAGATAAGCACCTGCAGCACCTTCAAGCAGTGCAACCGGAGGAGGAGGAGCACCCTGGACACGTCCGCGGCCGTGGGCATAGACACCACCTACACCATCACCTCCCCGGAGATCATCACCAAGGCCGACACCACCGAGTCCAAAGAAAAGCCCTTCGTTGGAGAAGAAGACGATGACTCGGCCGTCGGGCTCGGCGTGGCCGTCGGTGTGCTTGCCTTTGCTTGCATAGTCGCCCTTATTGTTGCAGCCTTGTTTTACAAAAGGCTCAGGAACTAAAGGGGCAATCAGTGAGCTGGGAAAGCAGAACGCCTTACCCCGTTCTGTATCTGCTCTCTCATTTTTACCTTTCTGCTTGAGGTCTGGCCTCAGCTCAAGACTACTTTTGTTAGGAATTTGTCTATCGGTCCTGGAAACATAGTTAGGAGAATGCACAGTTTTAGAGGATTCTGTAGTTAGCATTAAAAATGTCTGCACTTTATTCGCTTTCAGCTAATAGACTAAGAAATGAGAACCTTAAACAAGCAAAATGTTACTCAATCACAATTTCTTCCTGTGGAATGGTATTAGTGTGGCATGTTTTGAAAGTGGAATTAAAAGTTACTTTCAAAGTATTATGTCTGTAATTTTTTCAAGCTGTGACACAGAAATCACTTAATTATTTTCAATGTCTTCTACAATCTGATTGCAGTTTGTTTTTCCCCCTAAAGCAATCCAAAAATCAGTTACACTGAACCCTCTGTTAGCATGTAGAAACAAATTATTAATGCAGAGCTTTGACTTGTATTTGTGTTTGTTTGCATGTCTGTATTTGTTGTAGTTTCAAATAATAAAAAAAAACGAAGATATGGTTTACAGTTTTATTAATCCCTATTGTACTGTTGATAAAAGTATCAGCCAATCAAAAACAGCCAAGATAAATGTATTTTTGAAATATCTGAGGTGTTTTCTTTATATGGCTACATTATACGTAGTAGCTAAGTTATTTTTTGTACAAACAGGAATTTTAGTAGTAATCAGAACTCTTTGAAAAGAAACCCAGATACTAGAAAATAGCACTTAATATTTCTTTGTGCGCAGAAAAACTTATACAAGAGAGACTTAAGAAGAAATGACGAGTAAACAAGATAATAGCAAGAATATCATCATTCCCAAAAACTTTCTAACACAAAGCCAGTCAAATAAACTCATACGAAATTATGCACATCAGGGATTATATCTTGAAATAATTATTTTTAATGCAGGTAATGATGAGACTTGAACTTTGTCTTGTATTTCCACCTCTTTATAGTTTCCCAACTCCTGCCACATATCTGCAGTCCAGGTCTCCTGAGATTTCTGCACTTCCAGACTGGCCTCATGCCCCACAGGGCCAGTGTATATGTCAGAAAAGGAAGCTGTCTGACTCTGTGAACACACATGGCAGTATATCTCTGACCCCACTGGGCCACAACTGCTCCACCCTTCTGTGATGTGCTCCGGAGACACCACCTGATGAATGGACAGGCCATGCAAAGCCCCCCCGTGAGGGTTATTTAACTGGACCTAAAATGAAATTTCGCAAACAATCCTTTGTGCTGTTTCCTGCCTCCGGTAATTGCACAGGAAGAGCTTTTTCAGATTTAGATCCTGATGCCAATGCTTTATGACCCAATAATTTACATTAAAATCTCTGTTTGCCTTCTTTGGAACTTATAATTGCACATAATACGTTAATATTTTCCTCATTTACATGACTATGGTCACTGGATGTTAAATAATTTAATCGGTAATAAGTTTAAAGCAAGCTATCCAAGACAATATGCACAAAAATTGAATATGCAAATAAAAATCTAATTAGAGAGTTGACTGCACACTTAACTTTTACCAAAATAAAGAAATTGATATGTTACATTGTCAACATAATTGTATCTTTCCGTGTCAAACATAAAAAGATAAAGACAGTTTTAGAACTAGGTTGCATATACAGTATTTAGTTTATTGTGACTTCATCCCATACAGTTTAAGAAGGTGGGCCAGAAACTACCATTTGTGTCACAGGAAAAAAAAGTTTGGACAAGCGAGATGGAAAATGCAGACTTTCAGCAGAAACATTTGGCATTGTTGAGCGGCCTTTACTGTAAGCCTACCCGCACATGTGGGCTGCGTTCACACACACACGGCACATGGAGCCCGTTATGCACGGGTTTCAGGCTAAACCCCAAAACCTGATCAGATCATCATTTTCTATAGAGACGGGCAAACACGGGCTCGAGCCGTTTCCCAGAGTCATGCTGGATTTGATCCTCGGAAGTTTAGCACCAACAAGCGTTAGCAACGAGGAAGAAAAGAGAGAAAGTGTTATAGGTGGGGGAGGAGTAGAAGGAAGGATCCTTTTTGATTGGTCTCTTGTGGCTCAGTCTTATATATTCTATGAGATTTATTCTCTCAGGATTTGTTCAAGGGAGTTTAGTTTACTGGGAAGTCAATTTGTCTGCCCGACTGTCCCTGACTCCAGCTGGCATGTGCATGTATGCGTGCAACAGATTGAATTTCATTTATTCACAGACTGGAACTGAAGCTCGATCTCTGAAGCGGCGCTTTTCTGGCGGAGTAGACGTTTCTTGGCTTAGTTGAACCTCAAAGAAACAGATATATTCGGTCAAATTTGGCTTGAAGTGATGTGTAATAGAAGACAAAACAGAATCAAACGCAGCCTAAAAGCTGCTGTTTGTTACTAATGAGCTTTTGTGCCTATGGTTTAGATGCACAGGTGCATAACTGGAAGCCCTCGTTCACACACCCGACACACACACAGCAGCTTTTCTTAGCCGTATCTGCTTTTCATATTTTCCTACTATCACGGATAAACACTTCAGTCAAATATACGATGACAGACTCCTGCTCAACCGTTCAATACACACATGCATCTTCTCTTTTAATGGAGATAAACAGCACACACAAACAAAGGATGTCATAAAACCCTTTATTATACAACTAAAACCTCTGTTTTCATTAGACTTCATCACAAATAGTTTATATGAGTGTTTCTTGTCCTTCTATGGCCCATAACGGCCTCGGTGAGCTGATCGTAACGCGCGGCCTTGAGGAGCAGCGGTGAGACTGTTGAGGCCCTGCTAAACATATTATGGGAGTTTATGACTGAGCGGCAGGAGGCAGGCAGGATGGATGACACAGGAAATAGGAGGAGGAATACCTGCTGTCCGTGAGCACAGACAAGTGTGTGCAGCAAAGCCTCAACACATTTTTGTAAACTTAAACAGTAGGCTGTTACCACTTTTCGGTGTGGACTTTTATTGATTGGTTTGAATATTGTTTAGTGTGTGTACCTATATATAATACATTTAGACCAGTAGTCCCAGTTGGTGCAGACCAGTGAGCCGGAAAAGGTTACACATATACAGGCATAAGGTTTCACATCCATAAATCTGGTCTTCCTGCAGAGAGAGATGAAACTGCCTACCATGGTGCTAGCATGGCAAGACAGTCCGAGTCCCATACATCATGTCAGTAGCACATGAACATCCTGCGGTTTGAGTTAGAGGTGGACAACCTCACAACCCTGTCTTCTTAACACCAAAAGGCTCTCCGTGTTTCTGAACACTGGCCCAAGAGAAAACAACCAAAGTCGGACTATCTCAAAACTAGCCGATCTGATGGGGCCTGTCCAGAGGTGACCAAGATGAAGCCATCAAGCCTCTCAGATTCCAACAAAACCTGGCTCTGTTGTTTGGTCAGTGGTTTTGTCTTTTAATCTGAAGGAAGTTTTCTTTTCTGATCATGATAAGGAAAAGGAAATCCTAGATCCGTCCATCCAATCCCTCACAGGGTCACCCAGACAGAGCAGAATCTCCAGTTAGCCCAACATGGAGTGTCTTCGGATGGTGGGTGGAAGCGGGAAGCATGCAAAGTGAAATGGAACACATCTCAGAATCAAACATTGCTGACCCCAACCTCGACTATTCAAAAGTGAGTCATAAAAGGCATTTAAGTTTGAATTTTCTCTCCCTAAAGTTTCCTAACAGTGGTGTATTTGATGTGTGTGGATGACTTGCAGGACAGCTGGACAAAGATCTCCCATCAGGCTAAAGTTGTTTCATTAAGTTCCTGCTTATCTAACAGCAGAGGTTTCCTATTTTTATCAGTCCATAAGCTTTTTGATACTTTAAATGATCTTCGATCTGTTGCTGAAATGATCATCACAACGGTTTGCTCACAAATGTTTTATTGAGTTTGACGAGCTGGTTTAAATGATTCTTATCGTGTGTGTGAAATGTTTATTCAAATCTGTTGATGTGATGTGACCAAGGCCTGCAGAGAGGTCCGATAGACTCCGGGAGGAAACAAGGAATATTAAACCTTATAATCTAAGACGGCACAGAAGAGCTAAACGCATTTGATCAGCTAATCCTCCCGTACCCCGGTGAGACTTATCGTTTATCCACCTTGAAGCCCACACCTTCATCATATCTGTTAAAGTCCGCAGATGTGCTGCGATGTGTGATGGTGGCGAGATGTGGTGAGTGAGGACTCCATGTTTATTCCTCCGTGGGGAGAGGGCTGTCATTGCCGAATTCCTGCGCGTGAGGAATGGCGGCTGGTTCCCTGAGAGCTGGATAATTCACCTCAGTTATAGGTCCGGTCTGTCCGGTGTGGATGTGACACTTCCACAATTGTGTTAAGATTTCACACAGGGCCCGGACATGTGGACTCCCGGGGAGCAACTATTGCAGGCAGTCTGAGAGGGACAATCAGCAGCAGGTATGACGGACAGGCCGCCGAGGTGTCGAGTTATCCGCATGCCTCGTCCAAGCTGTAATAACAGCAGAGCAGGTCGGGGATGAATGTCTCGCCGGGGGGGCTTTCAGTCACAAATTAAACAGGGCGAATATAAAACAGCGCCTGAATTGATATCGCTGCTCAACGACCATAAAACAAATACATAAGGGTTGGGTCATATATTTTAGCAGTGCGCTGAGCAGTTCGATATCCTGTCATTAGAAAGATTTGCTGACCAAATTGCATTGCTTTGGCATTGTATTTGTCATGTTCTGTACTCACCAAATCAATGCTCTTGCTTCGGGATGATGTCATAACTCCATATACCCTAATTTTTTCAATGAATGTTTTGGAAAATTTGTATAGTTACCAATGGATGTTTCAGGCAGAATCGATAAAACTACATTTTCTGGGTCTTTGTGATTGGCATAGTTAAATGAAGAAAAAAAAAGAATACTGGGAATCTGTCAGACCTCTGTCAGACATCACTAATGGGCCCG